TGTCGGAGTGTGTAGAACCACAGCCGTCGCAAATTGGGTTCGCTCATCATGAAGCGGACCCAAATATCCTGAGTAATCTCCGGACTGATCCTCCCTTTGTGAAGCCGAGGCTTTACGACATCGTCTTCCCGGCGAGAAGTGGACTGCAGCAGAGAAAAGTGACACCATGGCATGGATTTAAACGTTCCGCCTCGTTCTCACCCTCGCTCTCACCTTTTGCTCGTGCTGTGAATCCCATCACGACTCGTTTAATATCTCAAGGTCAAACTCCCCCTTTTATATAGTTGGAAAGACTTCCTTCTGCTCTCAGCTTCATGCCAGCTGAGCAGACTATTTTACAGCCGTGTGTGTGTAAAGTCTGGATATTTTCTGTTTTAAAATGTAGTTTATTTAAGTTGAAATTTGAAGAAGCTTTGAGTTAAATATACTCCACCACAAAAACAAAGGCACTAAGTGGGAAATAATGTACTTTTTGCTAGATTAACTGCCCATGTTTACTGTTGGCTGCAAAAAAATATACATTGTCTGGCTGAAAATAGAGAATTGGCATCTACTTCCAACAAAAACACCTTTCACAGCAGCTTGGTCTTTTAAAGGAAGTGCTCCCCTGAACAAAACCGTGTTGCCAAATCTGAAGAATCTGAGCAACAGGCAGGGTAATTACGGGGGACATATCATTCAAAATCTACATTTTTAGCTGTAAAATGCATTTTGCTTTTAAAGAGACAGCACAAAATCATTGCAGTTTCACTGTATTTAGACCCGTAGTGAATGATTTAAATGTGAAATTGAAGGATTTAAAAGCACGTCTTCTTTAAAGGTAACCATGTATGAGGTTGCATATTTAATAATAGGTGTTCAGAGTGTCACCATGCAAGTGAATGACATTAAGACTCATCCAAGTTCAAGATGGCCCTAATTTCCACCTTCCCTTAGAAAACAAAAACAAAATATCTATGATTCAGTCAGTTTTACATATTTGTAAGGGTGGGTGTTTGGTGGTTTGGTAACAACAAAAGCTGGTAGCAGGAAGCAGGTAGGTGTAATTCAACATGTTCATTTCACAGAAAAGAAAATGTAGCAATCAAATCCAAACAAGCAAACGTTAACAGGAAAAAAAAATCAGTACTGAAACAGAATTGGACACAAAAGCACCAGAGCTTCCATACAAGMATCTGACAAAATCTAAGTGAAATAATGGATCTTGTATCTGCTGAGAGGGCTGAGTTAAAGAGCAGCAGGTGTGAAAAATTGAGTGACCAGGAGAGCTGAGGAAACTACAGTTATGGACAATCCAATTCGAGATGGGCACCAAAGCTAATCAGCATTAACGGTCACACACACACAAAATAAATAAATAAATAAATAAATAAATAAATAAATAAATAAATAAATAAATAACTCAGACAGTTTTATAGATATTGAGCTAAAACTTGGTGCGGCAGGAGCTGCACATACTCTAAGCCTGACATTTTGTCATATCAACATGAGACGGCACGTAATATTTTTTGTCACGGTTTGACTAAAACGTCTACAACTCTGTCACTTCTCACCATAAATTATCTTAATTWAAAACTCTGGCATGAACGGCAGCTGGCGACATGCATTCCTTCGATGCCTCCTTTAATTTGTTACAGCGGTGAAATGATTTTTGGAAGCCAAACCGTCCCTTGGACGACATTTTTAAACATATGACAAAATTCCAGCCATTTATTCTTCCAGCATCACATGAATCGATCTTGTCTTCAACTCGTGTCTCTTACACRTTGTCAGGATGATTGACCTGCTCCATTGGCATGCATTAGTTGATCTCTGGCAGCCCACATGAGTTAAGATGTGGCACTTATTTATTTATTTTTTGGGAGGTTTTTCTGTGGACCCGACAGCTCCCTCTGTCACCTGGTGATTCTCCAGAGCCTCGGTTTTTATGACACATTTAGAGGCCGCAGCTCTCCTGAGACATGTGGCTGGATGAGTGCAGCTTTGGATGAAACCAGAGGCTATTCATCATAAGTCGGGCTGGCCGACAGACAGAACACACCAACAACAGACTGTGTGAACGAACACGTGAGTGTGTGAGCAATTTCTCTGAATGGAACCGACTTTGCATAAGTTACTCGAATGAGCTTTATTGTTCTTTTTTTTAAGAAAAACAGCTTATCTGTCAGGAATTTAATTGGTAAAGTGCAAATTCAGCTTTGATTGCAAACACATTGGTTTATGCCTGAAAGAACAACATAAACCAGACAATAATTACTGAAAACTGTTGGGGATTGTTGACAGAGTTTAATGGCTCATGAGAGGAAAGTTGCTTTCAGGTTTCCAGTTGGTATGTTTCCTTGGCTGGGCTCCAAAAATACATAAACTGGAGCTGCTATCCATTCTGCTCTGTGATCAGGATTTGTTTTTTGTTGTTGAAGATCCATAAAATGAACTGACTACGTTTCCATCTGTTGTCCACTCAAAGCATCCGAGGTCTGCTGGAATCCAGCAGCTGAAAGAGAATTAAAGCAAGCAGGTCTGCCCTCTGCTGCCCTGACAAATTGTTGTTCTTGCAGGCTGCACTCTCCATGAAGAACTAGAATATTACTTTACAAGTTAATAATTCTCCTGCAGGTTTTTTCTACTATTTTGTAATTATTTTTTTCTTATGAATATAGTTTTTTGACAGTAACTGATATCATCAGTGAGTTATGTGTTTATTCTAGATCTGATGACAATGTTTTGCAAAATCATATTAGCAGACTAAATTGTGTGGAGCTTAATTGGGGCCATGAAATTTGTTAAAAAATTTAAAAATAGTTTTGAAACTGAAAGAAAAAAAATAAGRTTTTGACCTTAAAAATGAATAAATAAATATTTTTCAATATATTTTTTCCACTGAGATTCATGTTGTGCACCAACATAAGCTGCTTGTATCTTTGACACGTGGTATTTTTCAAAACCAATCACATAAACATAGAGTATCGATGATGTTTTACAGAGGTTTTCAGTTCCCATGGTCCCTGAATGCAACACATGTGACTATTGTGTCCGGTTACTGCTTTGAGATGTCAGCCATGATTCCACATCCCATAGWCATCTGAGGCCCAGCCCCCACAACAAAACTAGTCCAGATGTTTTAAACTAAGCTTAAAAATAATAAAAGCTAGAATCTAACTGGTAATTTTAACTTTTTCCCCTTTATTCCTGTTTAAACCATTTTTTTCTTCCAGCTTCAAAATAAATAAATAACTTTGTGAACCCAATGTAGCTCAATAAATATGTACCTTTTTGTGTATTTTGTGTGCATGTGGATCTTGTTGGTTTGGGAAGTTGTGTAAAGTTTGAGAATGAAAAGGGTAACATTTATGTCTTCCATATATTTGTGCTTGCCTTGTGATGAGTGAATGTTATATATCTATTTGTATATTTATTCTTTTGTAATGCTCTACATCCTGTGAGGCTTTGCAAACTCAAACAAGACAAACTGTAAGATCTCTATAGTATGACTCTATAGTGTGTGTGTATGTGTGTGTTATGTAAATAAAGCTGGATGTCAGGGCAGCCAACAACACACAAAAAACATTTTCCTAATGGATTTTTTTTACAATTTTGCATTTAAAGAATTGCAGCTCCGTGGTTTACAACTTTAAAGATTGTTTTTTTTTTCTTTATTTTATGACTAATAATCTCCAGATAATTTTCTTGCTCAGGTTCTAATTAGTATTTGAGTTGTTGTTCAAAGACAAATCCCAAACAGGCAGTGATTACGGTCTCTCAGATGTGTGAATGTGTTTGTTGCTTTTCGTTCTTAATGGTTGGGAATAAAAAAAAATGTTTTGGTTTGTTTTCTAAATGATAAGGTTCAAAATTATAATAAGAAATAAAATAACTATTTTATTTATTTATTTATTTATTTATTTATTTATTTATTTATTTATTTATTTATTGCTTACTTCTGTCAGAACTAAGGGTAAAAAGAAGAGAATAATTGACAGTATAATCAGTGAATGAATTAAGCCTTGGAACTTCTAGATGTAAAATACATTTTTTTATTTTTTAAAAGGTTGTTGATGTAAGGTCTGGTGTCATTGTAGAACTCCATTTACTAATTAAAACTCTGTAATGTACTGATTGAGACTGTTTAAACTGGATTAAAAGGTTTGTTAATAACTGAGTTGGATTTATGATTTGGACTTCTTCTATGGATTGTGCTCTCAAATCATGTTTGTTTGACATTAATAAACTGAGTTAAATGCAAAATGTTTCATGAATAGAACTAAAGGCCTCTACTTGAAACTATGCTTATCACTTTTTGTGCCAAAGTTTTAAATAGAGAGATCACTCTACGTTGTTTTAGGTTAAACCTTGAAAATAATGTTGCTTGTTTAATCTATTAGGACTCAAAGTATATCAGGGGCAACTCTCAGCCAACACCACACCAAGTTTTAACAGAATGTCTTTAAAACTGACTGGCGTAAAGCTATTTTGTGATTGGCTAAAGTTACTTAGCTTTTTCATTGGATGGACTCCAGAATTTAATCAGTTTTTGACTGATTACTTTTTGATAGTTACATTTAAATCCACCTAATGTTTATTTATTTATTTATTTATTTATTTATTTATTTATTTATTTATTTATTTATTTATGACAGAGGAGGAGAAAAAAAGATAAAGTTTGGGATTAAAATTCCTTGCTCGGTTATGCCAGTCAGATTAATCTTCTTACCTTCCTCTCTGTTTAAACCTGCCTCCCATCTCTGTCAACGTTCAGTCAGGTGTTGTGTGCGCTTTCCTCCACAAGGAGGCACTGTTGCTCTCTGCATGACTCCTTCCGTTGACCCAAAAGGAAGCGAACAAAGATAAGGAATTAATGGTGATATCGGAGCACCATGCACGTGCCAAAGTTTCCTCTCTGAAATCTAATGTGTGAAGGTTGGATAGTCCCCAGCTGTCACCAAAAACCCTTTTAGTCCCTGGACGTTTATCAGCGGACACTTTTTTCTCCCCTCTCCGCCACAGGGGAGGGAAAGCGACGCGGGACAGCAGCCAGCTGGGTTTCTTTTGTCATTTGGATCCAGATCCTCACAGCTTTAACCCGCTCTGCTTTCTTCATATTTAGTATCATAAATTCGGAGAGGGAAAGTAGTGTGGAAGTTGCGTGGCTGTGCGTGCTGTGAATCTCCAATCAATCTTCAACTTTTATGTTCTTTTTTATCTCTTCTTTTTTATTTCATTTTATTTATTTTTTATTGATGTGTGAACTTGGCTGAAAGAGGAGTGGAGGAGTTCTTTCTTCGGACTGTTTGGCAACTTGTCCAACATGTCGTCGCTGTATCAGAGATTCGCGGGGAAGATTAACACCAACGAGTCTTTCCCCAGCCCCCCCGAGGCGAACCATCTCCTGGGGAAAAGCGGCGACGGGGAGAGGGCGGCGGAGAGCCAGAGAGCCCGGCTGCAGCCCCGCTACCAGCGAGGACACTGCGAGGACGAGGACGTAAGAACCCCCCCCCCCCCTTTTATATTCTATTTTACTTTTATCTCTCTGCTGCTCACAGTGTTTTAATGTAGGTCGCTGAGCTGATAAAAAGTGAATCTTGTCTGTGGCTTTTAAAGGGAAAGTTGTGGAACAGTTATTAAATGGTGCGTCATCGCCACAATTGGCTGGATTGTGTGTCAATAAATGACGTGTTGGTTACGTCTCTTCTGTGTGGCGCTGTTTGAGCTCTTCCTAAATCTTCTCTGTAATCCTCTGTAGCCTCAAATGTATTTACTTGTTACGTTTTCCCCGACAAACAACGTTATTACATGTTTGTTGTCAAATAAACTCCCCAGCCTGTTGTGGTTAGGATGGATCATAAGTTGTATTTGTTTACCTTCTACTGGCTTTATTTACTTGATTTTATTTACACATGATACCACTAGTCACCCTGTGTGCCTGCTTCACTTATTTATTTTTCCTCTTTGCTGCAAATACAGTCTATTGAAGCGGAGTTAGATCACCGGAAATGTCCCTGGTGCTGAAATRGCTTCAGCCGCCGTTACCTCTGTCCATGGTGCTGAAACCTCACAACGAGCAGAACGCGTGTTCCGAAGCATATTGACGTTTCCCTGCTCCAGCACACCTGATTTAGAGATTGAATTACCTTTTCAAGTTCTGCAGAAGCCTCGTAATCACATATTTATTCAAATCAGGTGTGTTGCTGCAGAGAGACCTGCAAAACATGCAGGATGGTGCCCTGAAGGACCAGGATTGGACACTCCTGGAGATTAAAGGCCGTCTTTTGTTTGTCTGTTTAGTTAGAACCAGTTTAGAGCCATGTGAATAACCAKGGTTTATGACTTCTTTATTTATGCTATGACATGTAAAATAAGAAAACGTGCACCAAAAATTAATAATTTGGAATATTTGATTCATTAATATATTACTTTTAAAACAGTCTCTAACCCACAAAATCGTAGCTGCAAAGATCTGTGAGCCCAACTATCAGCTGAAGTTTACAAAGTTGACCCTTATAACTAAAGTCATGATGCAAAACCAAACAGCCATTACACCAGTGGTGTCCAAATTCGGTCCTCAAGGGCCGGTGACCTGTATGTTTTAGGAGCTGCCCTGGTACAACACAGCTGAACCTAAGGAGTGCTTAATTTGTAGGCCTCTGCAGACCTTGATTGATACTGAGGAGGCCTACTAATTAGGCACTCGTTAGTTTCAGCTGTGTTGAACCAGGGCAGCCCCTAAAACATACAGGTCACCGGCCCTTGAGGACTGACTTTGGGCACCACTGCTTTACACCATTGGTTACCTATTATTATTATTATTATTATTATTATTATTATTATTATTATTATTAAAATATGTTACTAGCTTTTTATATTTGATTTTTTGATAACAATTGAGAACCCTTGTTATTTTTTATTTTTATTTTTTATGTCACAAAGTGTGACCAAGGACACAACTTTGAAACATAATACAGTACAATAGATATGCTTAATATAATATTTTCCAAAACATCATTTTATTCATTTATTTATTTTTGCCCACTTTTCATTCTGCGTTGCAGGGAGTGCTGATCTTCAGCAGTCACTGTGCCTTTACACATTTAATACAACACGTAATGTTCAAGTAGTATAAGTTCAAAATGATACACAATGGGCCTCATGCAAGAAGATTTTTGTCTTCTTATCCTAAATTTCTCTTACTTTTGTTCATGTGAAGGGTTTATGTGAACATGCCACATCAGATTCAACAAACTCTTCTAACTTCATGAAAAGTGTGTAAATGAGGAGCGTAAACTGATGAATGCGTATCAGGTGCTCGTGCGTGGGGAAAGAAGATTAGCATAATTACCACCCCAAAACCACCATGTAAGGCTAAGTTTTCTAACCCACATACCAGGAAGTGTCCATTCATAAGTGACATTGCAAAGTAAAAAAACAAAAAAAACAACAAGAACTTCATGATTTCGGAGAATGAAGTTGTGCTCTCCGAGATCCAGAAAAAATGTAATTTTTAGCAGCGTCAGACCTGCTAAAGCCAGGGAATGAAATGATGACTGCTGTTAATGTCGTGTCTCCTGGGGGTCGTACAGTCACAGAAATGAAAATCTAAATCTTATTGATCTCTCTCTAGTCCTGCTCCACTTTTTCTTTAGTCAAATATTTTTAATTTAGGTGTGAACAACTGTGTTACATAGTTTTCATTTATTCAGAAGAAGAGCAGTCGCGCACCGCTACCCCCCCACCCACCTGCCCCGCCCCCCCCCCCGACCGTCGCAAGTGTCAGATGCATTTCTGAAAAAAAAAAGCATTTTAAAATGTCTCCAAACTTCAATTAATGCATAATTTAAGTTATTTTTGTAGTTTGCGATCTTCATATTAATATTGTAGTGTTATACAACAGCATTAAAAGCCAATTTAATTTAATCTTACCAATTTATGTCATTAGTTACATTTAAAATCTAATTCCAGTTCAAACAGAATAACGTATTATCAACATAATTATGGAGTGTGATTTATTTTCAACTCAAAATATCTTCAAACTAATGAAATATAAAGTTATTAATGAGAAAAATCTGTCTGGATAACAGCAGACTGACTGCTCGTAAAATATACGACAGGTCTGGACCACTCGTGGATTTTTTTTGTATCCGATAAAAAAATAATAATAATACAGTATGAGAAAATTGGTGAATGCCACAAATTCTCCTAAATCACTCAAACGCACAACTTAAGAACAAATCTATTCATATGAACAGTTCTTGCATGAGGCCCAATGATATGATCCAATACTAAAGAGTAAAATTGAATACAATAAAACAGAGAATAATGCAATATAAAACAAGATACTGTAAAACTCAGTGCATTTTAATATTATACCAYGGTATTGTGCTTTACAGTAAACCCAGTTATGTTGTATTTAACAAACAGCACAATGATTAAAAAATGACCAGCCTAACACCACTATTCATTACACATGGAGACAGTACAGGATACCTAGACACAGGCAACATTCAGCAGCTATTATTTTAACTGCATCTGCAATTTTCAATGGCAATTTTATTCACTCAGCTTGCATTTTAATTACACCAAACAGTGCAAACAACAGAATCAGATTTCCCTTTTGTTTGCTCCTACTGTTTTACAGAATGCCTGCAGCAGTGTGTGTGTTCTAGACAGACTTAAAAGCAGCTTGGAACAGTTGGTGTGAAACATCTAAAATATGAAATCTATTTTTCCCAACAAGCTAAGTACAGTTTAGCTACATAACAGACATACATATTGTTAATGCGTTCTTCAAAAATATTTAGCTTAAAAAATATTTTCAAAATTTATTTTTAATTACATAGTTACATTGAGGTTTCTGAAGTCTTTTTCATATATTTTGTTTTGGCTTTTTATGACACCAATGAGCTGACTAATGGAGACCTGTTGTCTCACATACATGTGTGGGGCAGATCTGTCAAGCTGGCACTGCTGGCTGGCTTCTGGCGTGGCAAATTGTTTGTCAACTGAATGTAGGCCAGGTCTGGCAATGATGGCACTGTTTTTAACTGGCCCAGTTRTGGTTTGGTTTATGTGGTGCTGGCCTATGYGTGGACCACCTCTGACAAACCACAACCGGGCTGCCAATGGGCCGTCATTCTTTGCTGTTTCTCAACCAAGCTTTGAAGCATTTGTGTCTTTTGTGGGCAAGCTTATTTGAGTGTTTTACTGCTCTTTTTTTTCTAAACACTTGCATGATAACTTACATTGGATCATCATATGTACATCCATGTTTGAAATAACGCAACTATAGCCAGATATGTGTCGGAGCTGCTGATGTTGTGTCTAGCTGTTGTGCTAACGTTCAGGTGCAGAAGGTAAAACACGGGTTGAGGTGTGCATGAATTTAACATGAGGTTGATTTATTGACCGGTGGTCTCTTCTTTGTGTTTGTTGGTGCAGAGAACTTCAACATGATCTGAAATCAATACAAACAGAGATGTAGGATCCAAACGGGTCAGCTTAGGAGCGTGTGGGGATGCTGCAAGGAAGAGGAGCAATTTGGAAAGCAGCTGTTTGTTCAGTGATTATCACAGGATAAATGCATAGTAAACCCTGTTGTTGAACTGCTGCAGCTTTTAGGCACCTTTCAAGAGTAAACTGGGTGTACGTGAAGCGCTCTGATTCCAGTTCTGGCCAGAGCACATGTTTAATGTCAATCCAAGCTTGGGCTTTTCTCCAGCTGTGTGATTTTAATGAGTGTGTCTGGAGGTGACATTTACAGTACATCATGTTGTGTGGAGCTGAGCCCGCTGGGATGACAAACCTCATCCGTCCACTACAAAGCTGCCTCGCAACTTTGTTTGTGAAGCAACAGTGGCAGAGAATGAATAGCATTTATATAATCAAAATCAAATCAATTAGAAACTCACTGCTTCAAGTTATCATCCATGTGACGAGTGTCTGTGAAACAAAGTGATGCTAGTGTCTCAAAAACAGTTTCAGAGTGTTTTAACATCGGCGATGTAACACGTTCCGTGTTGCTCATTATCACATGTGCAGGTGTTACAGGCCTGAAGAGGGATGGCTCATGTTGTTTGACACAACTTCCTGYAAAACTGATAAATACTGTCTGTGCTGTAAATGTATTTTTATAATAAAATAATTAGGAACACCTGCTGTGCTCAAGTCATGGTGACATTTAAAACATTCTTCATTTCCAGGAAATTGTAATTCAGATGGACTCGTCTCCTCTTATGGAGAAAAACTGTTACACAACTTAAGATCCCATCAGTCTGTTTGTGATCTTGTGTCAAACTGTTTACTAACCTGTATGGATGCACTAATCCATCAGCCAGTGATTTGACACTTTTTTTAGTTTGATCAGTGGATTCAAAATGGAGAAAATCTGTTGGGTTTTACATAAATGCCTCCTTCTTCTAAGCTGAAGGGTAGTAATTGTATGCCGGTGAAAGCCGCCAATCTTTCAAGGCATGTTTGGATTATTTATTT